GCCTCATCCCCCCCCTGCCCTTTTACACCCCCGAAACGGGTGTGCGGGCTTCGCACCGACGGGCTGCGGCTTTGCGTGCGCACGCTTGGTTGGCACACTTGTGAACGCTTGCGCACACGTCCTTTGCACGCTCGCGCGCGCTTGTTCTGCACGCTCATGCCTGCTTGTTTTACACACTCGTGCATGCTTCTTTTGCACGCTCGCGCACGCTTCTTTTGCACGCTCGAGCCCGCTTGTTCTGCCCCCTCACGCTTGTTCTGCACGCTCATGCCTGCTTGTTTTGCACACTCGTGCATGCTTGTTTTGCACGCTCGTGCACGCTTGTTCTGCACGCTCATGCCTGCTTGTTTTGCACACTCGTGCATGCTTGTTTTGCACGCTCGTGCACGCTTGTTCTGCACGCTCATGCCTGCTTGTTTTGCACACTCGTGCATGCTTGTTTTGCACGCTCGTGCACGCTTGTTCTGCACGCTCATGCCTGCTTGTTTTGCACACTCGTGCATGCTTGTTTTGCACGCTCGTGCACGCTTGTTCTGCACGCTCATGCCTGCTTGTTTTGCACACTCGTGCATGCTTGTTTTGCACGCTCGTGCACGCTTGTTCTGCACGCTCATGCCTGCTTGTTTTGCACACTCGTGCATGCTTGTTTTGCACGCTCGTGCACGCTTGTTCTGCACGCTCATGCCTGCTTGTTTTGCACACTCGTGCACGCTTGTTTTGCATGCTCGCGCACACTTCTTCTGCACGCTTGCATACACTTGGTTTGCACGCTCTGCATGCTTGTTCTGTACACTCGCACTCGCTTGTTTGCACGCTTGCAGACACTTTGTTTTGCACACTCGCGCACGCTTGTTCTGCATGCTCACGCCTGCTTGTTTCGCACACTCACGCACGCTTGTTTTGCACGCTCATGCCCGCTTGTTTTGCACACTCACACACACTTGGTTTGCACGCTCGCACATGCTTGTTCTGTTCACTCACACACGCGTGCTTTGCACGCTCACGCGTGCTCTCCCAGCTGCTTTGCACGGTCACCTCACTGTTTTGCACGCGCCCGCTCGCTCTGCACGCTCTCCCGGCTGCTTTGTGTGATCGTGCTGCTGTTTTGCACGTGCGCGCTCCTTTTGCACGCTCACACGTGCTCTCCCGGCTGCTTTGCATGAGCTCTCTGCTGTTTTGCACGCGCGCGCTCGCTCTGCACCCTCTCCCGGCCGCTTTGCACGCTTGCAGCCCTATTTTGCACGCGCGCGCTCGCTCTGCACCCTCTCCCGGCCGCTTTGCACGCTTGCAGCCCTGTTTTGCACGCGCGCGCTCGCTCTGC